GTTTTGTGCGCTTTTTGGGCATTTTCCTAAAAAAATTTAAAATTTTGAAGAAAATGATAATTTTCCTCAAAATTGTCCCCTCTGATTTTGCCAGAACCGTTCTCTGCATGACGGGTTCCGTGCAGCACACTTGACTCCGTCGGACGAGGTCTTCTGCCGGACTCGGTCTCTGCACGAACCGTACTCCGCCGTCTTTGCAAAGACCTGGTTCGACAGAGTCCGGGTGAGGGTCTGACCGATTCATGCAGAGACAGTGTGAGACAGAGTCGAGCAAACACCCGCTGTCACAGACCGTGACAAACAGAGGCCGGATGAGGTTGAGACCGTGTCAAGCAGATGCCGGGTGAAGCACAGACCGATTCATGCAGAGACCGGTTGAATCAGGGACCGAATAAAGCAGAGACCGTTTGATACACACCGTGTAAAGGAGAAATCGATTCAGGCAGACCGAATCGGGCTGAGCCTTGGTGAAGTAGACAGCCTGGCAGAGGCTAGTTCTGATAGGGATAGGTAAGGTCAAATTTAGAACAAAATATTTTCAATTTTTTCAAATTTTTTGAAAAATCAGATAATGCTGCAAATTTTTTTAAAAGCGCACAAAACCAAAAAATTTCGAAAAATTCTAAAAAATATTATAAGTTGAAATTTTTTACAATTCTTTAGTTTTGTGGGCGTTTTGGTCATTTTCCTGCATTTTTGATTTTTCGAATATTTTGAAAAAATGAAATTTTAGAAATTTTCAAAGAGTTTTAAAAAGGCTATAAATGTCATGAAAAGCGAAAATAACGAAATTTTTTCGAAATTTTAGAAAAAAATTCAAGGAATTTTTCAAAAAACTTCAGTTTTGTGCGCTTTCGGGCATATTCCTACATTTTTGATATTTTAATAATTTTGAAAAATTTGATAAATTTTTCAGAATTTTCCCCACAGATCCCTGGCAGAACCGGACTCTGCATGATGGGGTCTGTGAAATACACTCTCTCTGAAAGACACGGTCTCTGCCGAAATTTTCGAAATTTTCAAAGAGTTTTAAAAAGGATATAAATGTCATGAAAAGCGAAAATAACGAAAAAGTTTCGAAATTTTAGAAAAAAATTCAAGGAATTTTTCAAAAAACTTCAGTTTTGTGCGCTTTCGGGCATATTCCTACATTTTTGATATTTTAATAATTTTGAAAAATTTGATAAATTTTTCAGAATTTTCCCCACAGATCCCTGGCAGAACCGGACTCTGCATGATGGGGTCTGTGAAATACACTCTCTCTGAAAGACACGGTCTCTGCCGGACTCTGTCTCTGCACGATCCGTACTCTGTATCAACTTGATATCTGCCAGGCCCAGACTGCTTCACAAAAGCTCATAATAATGGCTACATACTGCCCTCCTTATGAGCTTATATAATGGCTGCAAAGAGGGCTTCATAACAATGTATTTTATTTGCTATATAGCCCTCTCCATAACATTCCACTTCATGACTATAGAAAGTGCTCCATAACATCCCATTGTAATGGCTAGATAGACCACTCCATAACAGAAACTGATAACAGCTATACAGAGCCCTTTGTGACAGCCCATGATAATGACAGCAGTTTCTATAATAAAATATTTGTTTATTTTTTATTATTTATTTTACTATGAAATAATCCTTCTTTTGAAATCTGTAAATAAATAATAAATAAATAAATAATAAATAATAAATATCCCCCCATAAGTAGAAAACTAATTTTTTATATTGCTTCTTACAGTGTATTCTCAGGACTGGAGAGATTTTTCTATAAAGGTCAGTCTGTGTTTAATTCAGGTTTCATTTTACATGCAAGATACAGAAAATTACCTAAGAATAGAATATGACAGTATCCCAATATGTAAGAATATTGTTTTAGGAGTCATCAGTTGGTGTCCCTGGTAAGACATCAAAATCCATTTCTGATCCATTTAAATTCTGAAAGAAGAATTAATAATAAAAAAAATTATATAACATTCTCTCATAAAATATGATTTCTACTAGAATTCTTTTAACATTTTTTTTCTGCCTTCTTTAATTCATAATCTCATTTTACATAGATGTAGATGCACAAATTTTGGGAAGTTCTATTTAAAAAATAGGAATTTCAGTTTATACAATACTAAAACAAGAATTTCAGGGAAATACATACCTACTTTACTTTCAAAACACCCATGTTAAAATAGAAATTAACCAAACAAAACTCCATCTATGACTTCTGACTTCCAAAAATTTGCAAATATACGAGGTGCGATCGGACAGTTTCCAGACTGCGCCTATAGAAACCGTACACTTATCTCAGGTGTTAAATTCATCCATCACCCTCGAAGTAGTTCCCCTGGGAGTGAACACAACGATCCCAGCGCCGCTGCCAAGCCTGGAAGCATCCCTGGAAATCTTTCTTTGTCAGCCTGTCAAGCACCATCTGCGATTCTGCCTGAATCTCTTCTATCGTCTCAAATCTCCTTACCTTTAGCTGAATTTTCATCTTTGGGAAGAGGAAAAAGTCACACGGAGCTAAATCCGGCGAATAAGGAGGGTGCAGGATGACGGCCATGGTGTTTGAGGCCAAAAACTGCCGAACTGCTTCTGGTCCTCAGACAGGAGCCTTGGCACAAACTTGGCTGCGATGCGTCGCATGTGGAGTTCTTCCTTTAGAATCAGCGGACAGGTCCCATAGCCTATCCCAACAATGTCGCACAAGTCGTTGATGGTACGACGTCGATAGAAAACTAATTTTTTATATTGCTTCTTACAGTGTATTCTCAGGACTGGAGAGATTTTTCTATAAAGGTCAGTCTGTGTTTAATTCAGGTTTCATTTTACATGCAAGATACAGAAAATTACCTAAGAATAGAATATGACAGTATCCCAATATGTAAGAATATTGTTTTAGGAGTCATCAGTTGGTGTCCCTGGTAAGACATCAAAATCCATTTCTGATCCATTTAAATTCTGAAAGAAGAATTAATAATAAAAAAAATTATATAACATTCTCTCATAAAATATGATTTCTACTAGAATTCTTTTAACATTTTTTTTCTGCCTTCTTTAATTCATAATCTCATTTTACATAGATGTAGATGCACAAATTTTGGGAAGTTCTATTTAAAAAATAGGAATTTCAGTTTATACAATACTAAAACAAGAATTTCAGGGAAATACATACCTACTTTACTTTCAAAACACCCATGTTAAAATAGAAATTAACCAAACAAAATTCCATCTATGACTTCTGACTTCCAAAAATTTGCAAATATACGAGGTGCGATCGGACAGTTTCCAGACTGCGCCTATAGAAACCGTACACTTATCTCAGGTGTTAAATTCATCCATCACCCTCGAAGTAGTTCCCCTGGGAGTGAACACAACGATCCCAGCGCCGCTGCCAAGCCTGGAAGCATCCCTGGAAATCTTTCTTTGTCAGCCTGTCAAGCACCATCTGCGATTCGGCCTGAATCTCTTGCCAAAGATTCGCCAAAACGGCTACGGAAACCTATGAAATGCTAAAGCAAGCATTTGGGGAGTCCGCAATGGGTCGTGCACAAACTTTTGTGTGGCATTCACGTTTTAAAAACGGCCGAACTTCTGTCGATGATGACGAGCGTTCTGGACGACCATCTTCGAGCACAACGCCCGAAAATGGTACGAAGATTCGGCAGGCCATTCACGAAGATCGACGTCGTACCATAACGACTTGTGCGACATTGTTGGGACCTGTCAGCTGATTCTAAAGGAAGAACTCCACATGCGAAACCAAGGCTCCTGTCTGAGGACCAGAAGCAGAATCGACTTCTCGTTTGTCAGGAGCTCAAAGATCTTGCAACATTTTAAAACGTGAATGCCACACAAAAGTTTGCGGACTCCCCAAATGTTTGCTTTAGCATTTCATAGGTTTCCGTAGCGGTTTTGGCGAGTCTTTGGCAAAATTTGATTTGTTCATGAAAATCCGCCATTCCGAAATCGCAGGAGGGTCGGTGTAATGCACTAGCAAAACGCCCGTAACTAAGAAACAAATGCTAATTCGATGATGCCGGCTGGCACACTGATTCACTATGAATGTAGGCCGCACCCCCTAGCGGCAGAAGCTCGTACTACATCCGGTTCGCCCTCTATTGACACAGTCTTGAAACTTTCCGATCGCACCGATCGCAATGTCAAAGGACTTATATGTCCATTACTGCAGAGCAAATAAATGCATATTTTTAAAAATCAGGTTCCTTGTCTCTTTTCTTTGTCCTCAATGATTAGCTACAAGAAATAATGCTATAAACACATTAATAGAAAAAATGCATAGGAATATCAGTGAGGGCTTATGTGAGTTAAAAATATACATACTGCATGAAACCACTACAGGCTTTCCCATTATGAAATAATAAGGCATCAAACATATGCATGAATGCCAGCAATACACTGCAGTTAGCAACTCAGAAAATAATTATGAAGTAGTTTACCCAGCTCCTGGCTTTCAGAAAAAGTGGGGTTATAACTAAAAAACCAAATGTAAACCAATTCCCAATTCATTTTGCCAAAAATAAGACCAATGTAAATTTTCCAAAAAACAAAATACTATAATAACATCATAACCAGAATTCTGAATATGCAAGGAAAACTTGAGAAAGCTGACTAATCTAACCACAGAACATTTTGCTTTGTGCCAAAGCTGACACAAGAGTAAGGTGGAAGAGGTACATGGCCAAACAGGCTAGAGGTAAAATACAGAAAAAAGGGAAAACAGAGAAGAGTGGAAGGAAAGAAGAGGGAAGGGCTATGGATAAATATAAACGTTGCCTAAAGAATGAGGACATGATACAGTAAAAGAGACAAGATGCATAGTCATCAGAAAAGACATGGTAGATATAAATGCATTAAAATTAATGCACTGTGTCATAAAACACCTAATTTTTTTAAGTTTATTATCAATTAGTGATATCACCTAGCATTTCTACCTAAATAGATAAATCAATAAACAGAATGTGCATGTTTAGGGCAATGAAAACCTTCACACAAAAATGGAGACTATTACATGCTATAAATTAAATTAAATTTAAATTAAATCCGTGGCGTAACAGCTCCAGATAGCCAAAGCCGACTAGCTTGACTGCTGGCCTCACGTTCACATGCCTAAGCAGAGGTGAACGATCAACCAACCAGATATAGGGTGACGTGTGGTCAGCACGACGAACCCCCGGCCATTGCTAGTTTTCATGACTGGATTACGCTAATCATTGTAGCTCCCCAATTTCCTCACGATGCTGGGATGGCACCGGTCCCATACACTGGTCGAAAGCTCATGAGAAAATTTCTTCTCCCCCGAGACTCGAACCAGCGCGCATTCCGTATTGCCAGTCCAAAGCACGATGCCTCAGACCGCGTGGCTACGGCGCAGGACTTACATGCTATAACTATTACTAATTACTGTTATTAGACACTATGTTTATCATTTCTATAATGTACAACACAATGTCCCAAGATCCTCTCCACTGAAAGAAGTGAAGTTACCTTCTTGTCCCTGTTTCTTTGCCTCAGATTCCTGTCATCAGAAACACTTATACAGCCATCAACAATTCCAGAATCCTGATCACCAAATGCTGTTTCCTCTCGGTTTAGCAATCTGCCTCGGCTGCCTGCCCGTTGCATTTCTTGTGGCTGTTTCTTCTTTTTCCTCCCACTTGCCTGTGATGCATTGTAGCTAATATCTGGATGCAGGTATTCACTGTTAATAATCTGGGTTTCATGCCTATTCGACATAAAATAAATCAGTTTAACTTTATTTCTATGCACAGATATCTATTTACGATGGATTCTAGAATACCTCAACTTTGTGTACTTACAAAAGAAAATCTTTTCAAGTAATGACTTAGTAAGCAAACTCGCGTGTTATGACAGAAAATTTCAGTATTTATCAGCATATTCTGAAGCAGTACTGTTTGATTTATAAGACTCAGATTAACTTCAAACCATCTGAAAATGTATTATATCCAAGGCATCACATACCCACATCAAGACTGATTTTTGATGATAGTAACTCTGAAGTTTTTTAATAAACATATATTGCATCAGTATTAAATCTATTTACCTGACTCCTGGTCTGCTTCCTAATGTGAATCCCATATTCATTGCACTGCCCATCATGAGGGTGCCTGCTGTACCCATGGTAGGGTAGTTGCTGCGATAACGAGCAAGTGATGCCTCTGTCCCATCAATCGAGTGCTCAAATTGAAATTGACGATATGTAGGCACACCAAGTGTCACAGTTCGGAGCTAAAACAAGTAATCAGTTACCACAAATGTTGTAATTTCTGAGTCTTATAAAAGTGTCCATTTGTTAAGTTTCCGTATGTAGAGATTAGATAAAGGTCCTAAGCAGCATTTCCAGATGATTTGAAGAAACACAGACCATCTAAACACATCTTTAGTTTACTTTTACATAATATGACTGTTATACCTGCTGCTTCCTCATCTTTTCTGTTTCTTTTTTCCGTTTGATGACGAAAGCACCTATAACAAGCGACATGATCCCAAGCATGCTCACAATAACAGATGCAACAACAGCATACACCACTACATTAGACTTCTCTGCAAGAAAAACATAATCATATTGTAAGATTTGAGGTTTTCACAGCAGTGAGTATGAAGATTTCTTTCTTCTGGGTTGTTTATCAGGGCGATGAATAATGAAATTCATCACCCTGATGACGGAGGCAGTATGACCTCTGAAACGTTGGTTAACATCAACCAGACTACACAGCGCAACAACCCAGAAGACAGAAATCTTCATAATCATATTGTTACACACCAAAGTAAATGTCCGTTTTAAAGCGTTGTAATGCTATCCCCAGGCACAGGCAACCGATCATGAAGACATAAACAAGAATGAGGAATAATGGTGCATTCAAACTGCAGTCTTAGAATGAGGTCATCAATCAGTTTCAAACCCCAGTGGACATTAACTAAATGGACAGAAGTGTGACTATACCACAGCCATTCCACATATAGTGGTAAAAAGACACATCCTAGTACCTTCACTGCGAATTGAATCCTAATCCGTTCTGAACATAGTGATGAAGAAAAAATCTAAATACTGTATTCTTGTGAGGAACTGACCCCATTCATAGATAACTTACTGACTGAGCTGAGATGAGCCTTTATTTACCTATATTTTAAAAATAAGAGCTCAGTACAGTAACAATACAGAGTAGTCAGGATTTGAGGTTCTCACAGCAATGAGTACAGAAATGGCTGTCTTCTGAGTTGTAGCTCTGTGTAGTCTGGTCGAAGTTTACCAACATTTCAGAGGTCTTTGCTGCCTCCGTCATCAGGGCAATCATCACCCTGATGAAGGTGGCAACAAGGACCTCTAAAAAATTAGTAAGCTTCTATCATACTACATGGCACTACAACCCTGAAGACAGCCATCTTAATACAAAGCAGCTTGACAACTTTTATGACATTTAAAATTAAAACATAATTGTACATAATCATTCACACACAGCTGTGATATAATACACATTAAGTTTTCAGGGCTGACACCTATCAATACTGAACTTTTATGAGGCATGCAGTCTCGCTGCAAAACTGAACTACTATGTGGACCAGTATCTTTGTTTTGTAATACCAGAAAAGATAAGTTCCTACTGTGACGCATTATCCCAGTGACAGAATTCTCCAACAAGCATAACTAAATGACCTATTCCCAAGTCAAATAATTAGTCAAGATTGACAAAATGCCTGGCCTGTTTATTCATCAGACTTGTCACCAATTAACTTATTCTGAAGTTAGCCTTACCAAGAAATTTAAACGAAATAAAGAACAAATTTACTAAAGCCATTATACAGCGTGTTTCAAAAGTAGCTTTACAACTTGAGGGCGAGATATTGGTGAACTGATAGGAGAAACATGTAATTTCAGAACATGGAAATGTAGTCGAACACTTCAAGTTTTATGTCCATCAGATTTTTATGGTTCAATGTGTCTTCCATTTGTTATGCGGCAGACGTTCAATCTGTAGTCAATATCTTGCCATACGCGGTGTTGCATCTCCGGTGTCACTTCAGCAACTGCGGCGGTAATTCGAGTTCGGAGTTCGGCCACATTTGCAGGTAAGGGTAGCACGTACACTCAATCTTTAACAAATCCCCACAAAAAAAAATCTGAAGGTGTTAGATCTGGGGAACAAGGTGGCTATGCTATTGGTGCGGCCCGACCAATCCACCGACCTGGGAAACGGTTGTTGAGGTACTCGCGCACTTCTCCGAG